TTTCCTATTTTGTCTTGACAGTGTTTCATTTATATGATGGTGTATTTTTCCCTTGCAGCTATTGCCTCCTGTTACTCTTTATGGTAATTGAAGCTGGGCCCGAAAGACCTTAGAGGCTTGTATCTTCTCCTCACATTAGTGACACTTCAGTGATAAACTTGAACCTAAAGTTACTGAGGCGTAACTGAGGGTTCATTTGATAGCTAGTGGTTTTCAGCAGCACTGCAGGGCTTCAGGGGCTCAGCGTGAGCGAGATTGTTAATGTCCTGTGAGGGAAAACAATAACACATTTCATTAATGCGTTCATGTGTGAAGCATCCATTAGGGCGCTGGAGGTATTAATGACGTTATGCTTTAAACTGACATGTGGGGCATGACAGGAATTGCAAGGTCTGATGAGAACAGATGACAAGATAAGCAAATATTTGAATGGCTTCATTTGCCCGCAGGTCAAACTGTGGTGCAGGGGAACAGAGAAAGCTAAAACCTGGGAGAGATTAGTGTTTTCCTAGCATGGACTGAGCCACAGGAAAATTTAAGAAAGATTGTTTACTAAGTAAATAAAGAGGTCAGCAAGGACAATAAATATGTAAAAAGTACAAGCTTAATTGTTACTTAGCCGGAGTTGATAATTCTAACTTAATTTAAGTTTTTAAAACCATAGAACAATTCAAGGAATAGATATACAGACAAACATTTTTCTTATATGACTATTCTTTTAATTTTCAGTAATTCCCTTCTTTCTGCCTGCTGTAAAGGTTTAAAATTCATAGCCAAATAAGCTGCTGACTAAATCAATAAGATCACTGCACTTTGTACCAGAAGTGAGTTTTACCATGGGATTTTAGTAAACTAGCCTGTCTGCAGGTAAGCAGAAGCTGTTAGAGTTGAGACTATTTTCTCTGATTGTCATGTGTGTTGTTTATTTTGTTATTTTTGAACTAGTCTTAAATTAGCAGATGAAGGCCTATTCCCCTGTTTTGGACCATTGTTGAATTGCTACAGAAGGCTCACGGTACAAAGGATTTGACAGCTGCGACTCAGCCATTAGATGACAGTAGTGCACATCCCAGTGCCATCCAGCATAATTTAACATGAATGATCTGACATGCTTGGCAGATCCTTGAAGAAGGGGGAGGAAAAACTCCTCTGCTTACCTCTGATTCAGAATGATTTCATACAATCAGACTTTTTGTTTTCAGAAGCTGTGACACTCACTAGCTGGCTAATGCAATGCGATTCCATATAATGGCTTTTGTGTTAGTGCTGCTGTGCTAAACCAAAGTAAACAACTTTTGCATTGTCAGTCCTTTAGGATTCTTGTACATTTCATTTAAATATCTTCAATCCACCCTCATAAACATATGAACACTTCTCCCCACTTCACTCTCCTCTGATTTTCATGTGGTGATTTCCTGTCCAGATCTTTGTGCTTGTACATTAATTTGGCTTATAATAATAAAAAATTAAGCAAATATCTCTGGCACGTTTTCACACTGAAATTCTGGGAAGTTTGCTCTGAAGTTTCCATTATGATTGTTGTCACAAATATTCCTTATTTCATCTGAAAGTTTCCATCCATAGACTTGAAGGTACATCCAGACCCCTGAAGATACATTTTTGGGAGAGAAGTTGAAACCAAATCACTTCAATCCGCAGAAGTCTTCAGGAAGTGGGAAAACATGCTTTTTGACTGCATAGTTGCCAAAATGTAAAGATATTGTCAAGAACAGTGTGTGTTTTCCTTTTTAATAAGCTGCAAAATTCTGAGTGCAGTTTGCTCACTCTTATGCTTATCTTCATAGCAAGCCATCTAAGAGAGAGCATGCTAATGGACTACACGTAACTTCCTCCAGTGCCAATTAAAAAAATGAAAAAAAGTCTTAAAGTATTTGTTATCTCCTTCTCAGGGTTCTCTGCATGTCATGGCCTAAACTTACCATGCATTTTGTTTTTACAGGATTTCCAGTCTGCTTTAGAAATGGAAATGATTTTTGTAAACAGTTGAACTTTCGAATGTTTATTTGAATTGACCTTCCAAGCCTTTACTAACTTTCGTATTTCTAATGCTGAACTACTGTCTGTGATGTTGATGATTATGAGGGGTGGTGTGTGATGGTAATGCTGAACTGTAAATGGTGACGGCAAGAGCCTAAGATAAAAGGGGGCCTTTGAGCATGGATTGTCCCATGGCAACAAAGTGACACTATGGTATTTCTTAGGAAAATCTGATCTTTTCGATGAGGATATGTCTAGAGATAAACAACAAAATGTCAGATCTGCCCTTTGCCTTTCATGTTGAAAATGACTGACCAATATTTCTTCTGATAGCAGAAGATACCTTATCTAACAGAAGATATAGAGGTGACAGTTGAAGAATCTGAGGAGCCATAAGGCTGTATGGAAAGTAAGTTGAAGTTATTAGAGAGATGTAGACTGTGCTCTACACTTTATGGACAGAGGGACATGACTTACAGAATACAAACCTGAAAAATTTTTCTGCATAACTGCAATAAAACTCTTGCATGGATGCATGGTGTCTAATCAGTGAGTCCAGCCTCAGGGATATAAGTTTGTGCTTCAAGACAATAATGATGTAAAGTTTTTCCTTTTTATGGGGTATTATCCATATTGCATTCCATGGTTTTGATTTCTCACTATTACTAGAGCTCTTCTGCTTAAAATACTCAATCAGATGTGAAATCTGATTTAGGAAAAACTTCTATAGGGGCAAAAGTGGTTATGGTAGAATGAGAACTTCGAGTCTTTGTATTATTCTTGTGAGAAATGAGTTAATAGTGTGACTTTCCTTTTTCATAATTTTTATTTTTTTCCCACTAGTCATCATAAACAGTCATCAAGTTATTAAACTGTAAGAATATAGGACATATACTTTCCAGCTTTTGCTTTTACAGTTTATAGAGCCAAGCTTAAATCTTTGCAGAATAGCTCTCAATTTTTTCATTGTGAACAGCTGTGTTTTATTGGATTGAGTAATGTGTGTCGCACTGGCTTGGAATTGGAAGTTCTGAACATGACCAACCATTCAGCTGGGTCCACCAGGTCACTTTCACTTCTTGGTAGAATTCTTATGCCAACTTTTAAGAAGCACAAGAATATATTCTCACACACCCCTTGAGTTTGTTACAAGCTGAGAATTTCCATCTTACACCAGGGGCCTGGTAAATGCTCTCTTTGTCTTTGCTGTTTATTTTAAAATTAGAAGCTTTCATGTAATAAAACAAGCCGGATTGACAGGGGTTTCTCTTTGCAAAGGCAGTTCTCAAAACCTGTGTGTCTTTTGAAATTGAAGATTTGGAGTGGTTTGAGACCTTTTTAAAGACTTGTAGAGTAATTCTGTCCCATTACTCAAATAAATCTTACCTCTTGCTTTGCCTCCAAGACTTCCTCACAGTCTTACTTAATGGGTCTACTCTATAGCAAGCAGCTTTCTGCCTCTCTATTTCAGTGGCTACAGTCCATGAAGGAGAAATTCAGGACAGAGGAGGCTCTTCAAGAGATTGTGTTGAGAAGTGGATATTAGACACTGCTCTGCCTGGATGATAGTGATGGTGAGAAAGTCCTTGTCCTTCCTCCAGTGATTTTACTATATGACAAGTCCATTCTCCCAAACATTTTGTGAAATTGCAACTATGTGGTGTAAAAATTCGTTTGGGATATTGGTCACATGGAGACTGCAAATAGACTGTAACTCCAAAGGTGGAGCTCATCCACATGACCTTTTTGTTCACTGTTCATATTTTGAATGTCACTTTTATTAGAGCAGACGAGTTTGTGTTGTCTTCTTTGACAGAGTTCATAAGCTGCTGCCAGCATCTTTTCAGGGAACTCTTGGAAACTGCTAAAGAAATCCTGGAAGGAATCTAGCTTGAGTAGCAGGCAATCTGTAGTGTAAATTTCTTCCAGACCGCTGAGCAATAGGAATCACACTGTTTTAATATCTGATACAAACTTTTATATAAACAACTGCTGATTTGCAATTAGTAACTAGACAGAGTTTGTCAGAAACTGGCTACTTTGTATTTCATTGATTATCATCCACAAATGATGGTCTTTCTTTGCTGGCAAATGATTCAAGCAAAGTGATCTTTCCTATTGCTATAATGGCACATTCTGGTCATTGGACATACTTTGAAAGTCTTAAAATAAATGAAAAGAGAACTAATATAAAATGTTGGATTTGGGTTTTTCTGGGATTTGTGTGTGTGGTTTAGTTTGGGGTTTTTTTGGTGTTTTTTTGGTTTGGTTTGGTGGTTTGTTTTATTTTATTTTTTTGTTTGTTTTTTTGTTTGGTTGGTTTTGGGATTTTTTTGCTATTGATAGTCTATATATAGTACTAGGCCTTTAGAATACTTTATACGTCTATACATAGTTGAGTACTTAAGGACATTAAATAAATAAATGAAAAATAATACAGTGCTTACAACTATATATAACTGAAGTGAATTGTCTGTATCCTAAAATAAGTAGGACTCATGCTGAAGTAACAAATAACGTGCTCTTAAAAAAAATCTGATCAGCATGATTCTTCCTGCTGCAGTAAAGTGTTTGAGAAGATGGAATGGTAGAAATGGTATCTACATGAGCTGGGATTACAAAGATTTTAAATACACTGCTAGCAGCATATCTCTGAGATCAGTGTTCCAATGACTTCATTAGCAAATGCATAAATGATGTAAGAGGATCAAATTTGGCTTTAGGACCTTGCTCTGCCACAGATTTTGAAAAATGAACACAAGAGAAAGGAGAAGAATGGTGTGGTTAAGCAGCCTGGCAGTTTTTGTTTGAGCCAGTTTAGTGAGAGAAAGTGAAATAGAGTACAAGAAGAGAATGAAGATACAGAGTTTAAAACTGGTGAAAGGAGAAACATCTGAGGAAGAAGACAATGGGTCAGACAAGCTGGCAAACGAATAATTGTTTAACAACTAGCACTTAAGAATTTGCACTGTTAAAAAATTGGTGGATTTTCCTGTTGTACTACGTACTGTGGCTTTGGCAAAGGTTGTCTGGCAAGCAAATGACAGAGTTTCTGAATATTGTTCTCAGATACCTTCTAGGAAAAACTAGCAGTTTTGAAGTCTCTGGAACCATATAGTTTCTGGGCTTACCCTGCTGTGCCATAGTATATTTTTACTGACAAGCATAATGATAAATCAGTAATTTGCGGCATATTTCATTTAGACACTAATTGCAGTTTTAGCTCATTATTGGTATTAATGATCCAACAAGTCTAACTGTTAAGGGATGAACAAGGCTGAAATCATGGTTCATAAGCTTGCTACTCTTTTAATAGATTTGAATGAGAATTAGAATATGTATACAAATAGGTGGCTGAAAGGTATGGGAGTCTTTCAGCCCTGTTGAATCAATACATTTAATTAGAAATCAATGTTAATTTGTATGGGTGTTTTGACTAGGAGCCGAGCAGTATCCTCGGCCTCTGCACCAGGTGTTAGTCTTGGACCTGATAGAGAGAGCTTTGAAATGATCCTCCATGTTTGGATTAATGCTTATTTCCCAAAGACTTTGTATGATGCTTAGCACTGCATTGAGAAATATAATTGAAAATATAATTTCTGTTAATACAAAAGGAATCTGAAGGGTCTCATCAAAAGGCCAACATCCAGCACAACTGCTTGGAAAGAAAGTGACTTTAGTTGAGATACTACCTGACATTTTTGGTCAAATGCAAATATAATAATGGGTAGCTAGGAAAAATAACATTTTAGGAAACTACTGAACAGTAATTGTTAATTATCCAAGCCAAAAGATTTGTGTGCAGGTCTGTTGCTAAGTGGTGAAAATGAATGGAACTGCCCTTATCAACCATAACAAAACCAAATTTATGTACTTTTAAAGTATAGAATATATTACCTAACATGATTTAATTCCAGCATTCATGACATTTTCCCATAAATACAAGTTTATATTACAAAATATGGGTCAGGATTCCAGTTTGAAATTGTTCCATATTTAAAAGTGGTAACCATACACTGAGTGACTCAAATCTGCTAGTCTAACAGCACAGTTGGAATAAAAGATGGAACATCAGTCAGGTTTTAAAATCTCCTCTCATCTCATCTCATCTCATCTCATCTCATCTCATCTCATCTCATCTCATCTCATCTCATCTCATCTCATCTCATCTCATCTCATCCTTCTTCTCGATCTCCTGTATGTCAGTGCTTAAGTTTCATATTACATAGAATAACAGTGATTTAGTGAACCTGTCATTTCTCAACCTGACCACTTCCTTAAGACTTCCACTCCCTTGTTTCAACACTTTATTTCCATTAGATGAGTTTGTTTCTTCATAGTAATAAATTCAGCTGAAAAGATAGCATCTGTCTTAAAGATGATGTATTTACATGTACTTTTTGCCAACATGAGTCACTGTTACATGTATGTGTTTCAGGAAAAAGCACTTTAAAACCAAATTAAAGTTAAAAATCATTGATATCTCAACAAACTACTGTTAGTATATGTATTCTATTGTAAACCAAATCTTTTCCTTGTTAGTGTGCATTGCATATGGTTTTCTCAACCATTTGATTGAGAGGGAAAAAATGCAAACCATTAGTATTTTGTATTAGAATTTTTCTTGTGAAACTGCAGCCGTAAACTTTATTTTGAGGTTGAAATAAACTTGAACTGGTAACAATATGAAATTTCCTTGCATGAGACTTCTTTTTTTGAGCATTACTATTGTAGCCTGTTAATCGTGGTATAAAATTTGATGAACATCTTGATAATCTGATTTGGTGATGTCCTGGAGAGAAGCGGAATATATGATTTCATTCAGATAGTGACAGTAGACCTTCCTGAAAATGGCTGAAAAGAAACCCTTCAGAAGTCCTCCGAATGGAGTAAAAAGTGACATCTTAGACTTGAAGGTTTTTTGGTCGGTTGGTTGGTTTTGGTTTGGTTTGATTTGGTTGGTTTGTTTGTTTCTATGTTATAATCTTCATTCTGGTAATTGTTCATGCTGAAATACATGCAACACTACACTTTGACTCTGGAAACCTGGTGATATTTGCAATGTAGAGAAACACAACTCCCTTGATGTGTCTGATATTAAAGCTTGACTCATCTCTTCCCTGATGATTGTGCTTAGTGTTCCAGTGAAGTCAAAGGTAAAAAACACCTTTGCATTGGAAAGGAGATTTGGAACTAAGGGCATTGATCTAACGACTTTAGCAAGCTTTGAATTCAGTTTTGTACTCTACTATTGACATTTGTAAATTTTATTCAAAGTCCTTTAAACCAGTTTCTCATAATATTTGTGTATGTAATTCTTTGGAAAATACAGGGCTTCTGACTCTTTTCCCTTCACTATCCCATCTAAGAAGTGTATCTAAAGTGTAAACATACATGAAAAGGTAGGTGTGAGGATGAGGACATAGGTAGGTGTGAGGATGAGGTCTTGAAGATCATTGGCTGCTTTTTTAATGGGTGTCACATAATTACTCCTCAGATGAGGAAGAGGATGAACAGCGGCTGATGTGATGATTTTTGAAGATTCAACAAAATATGTCATTTCTAGTACTGGTGGACTATAAAGTTTGTGAAAAATATTTCTGCCTTCTAAAAAGCTACTTCGAAACCTCTTTAGAAAGAACTAGTGATGTTGGATCCATCTTTGAATCAGTCTAGTAAGTAAATTTTATTGTCTGAACTCATCCGTCTTTCTATGTATCACCACTAAGATCTGCTGCTTCAACAGCTGCTTAGTCCAATTTTCTTCCAATATTTTCTACCTAATGCTCATTCCAAACAGGAAACCATGAAAAATTGAATGTGGTAATTTTGGAAATATTTTGTCAGTATCTGGGATAACTCATTGTTTGTGAAGCACCTCACAAAAGTGCACAGGGAGTTATTGACCTTTAGAGGTTCCAAAGAGTACCACTTTGTAACTTTGGCAAGTATATTAAGGTGTTTCTATGAATATGGACAGATTTAAACTGATTTTCTCAGAAACAGAGAGCTCAGTGATAAAAAGTAAAAAAAATGTCCATTCAGAAAAAAACCTTATGGTGACAGTAGATCTGGTATTGTTCTTGGGGCAGGGGTCAGGGCTCAAATTTCTGTCCAGAAGCTAGGGAGAGACGTAGGAATCATTATTTTCCATAGTACTAAGAAAAATGTGTGAAATTAAATAATAGAAAACTTTAAATACTAGAGGAGATTTCTGAACTAGTCTTGGATGAAAGAAAGAAATGGGTTTCTCTGATACTCAAGGCAAGCAGGCTGTGAGCAAGCATCATTACCATCAACAGCCAACAAGAAGGGTAAAGCTTTAGGTGGCAGTGACTAAACAGTTTATAATTTTTTTTCTGTTGTTCTTTTTCTCCCATTACATAAGATGTAGTGTTTGCTTTTTGTTTATTAGGTTGTTTTGTTTGTTTTTTGGTTTGGTTTGGTTGGTTGGTTGGTTTTGGTTTGTTTATTTTTTAAATGGAAAATCTAATATAGAATCTTACCTGAATAGATAACTTAGGGACAGAGCTTTTATTCTGAGGAGAGACATAAGAGAGGGAAACCGTAGCCATATGTGAGAGATGAAATTACTTAACTGGCACTAGTACATGAGTAACCATAGGAAAACAGGAGGTAAATATGAGAAAGATGAAATTATAGATGAGCAGATGAGCATACATCAATAATGAAGGGGAGTAAAGGAAGAATAAAAGGATGTAAATTGCATGAGGCAAGACATTTACAGAACTGTGCAATGTATTATCTTAATGATGACAGAACAATATATTATCTTAATGATGATAGAAGAAACTGAAGTGAGGTACTTTTTTTTTTTATTCCACCACAATGGGAGGATGACTGATGAAGAGGTTTTTTAAATGTCATAGATGAGAGGTGACAAGATTTGCTGTTGTTACAGATGTACAGGAAAAAGAAGTGAAAACATCTGAGATGACCATCAGGTTTTGACCCCTGTATCTTAAGTGTAGGTGAAAATGTTGCCATCTGTTCTAATGTGTTTAAAAGTGCTTCACAGCCCATGGGGACGCTTGACCTAATCATTGCGAGTTACTTTTCATTTTTGTGTTCTAACAAAACTACTAGCACTGTCCAGTTCCTATACACGCACATCATGCTTAAGCACTCTTATAGCTCGGCAGATCTATATCAACACTGACACCTAAAAGAA